GCCCACCGGAGACCCTGGTGGCCCCGATCTGTGGCGGCCCCGGAACGGCCCCGGCAGGCCATGCCCAGCCGGCGGGGCGCACGCACAGGCAGCCAGGAGAACACAAGAAGAATTACCGTATGCGACTCTGAAATTGGCGGGGGTGGGGCACGGCTCCGGCAAACCGAGCAAGGCTCGGCAGCGGCTGCGGTGGCCGCGTCCTTTATTTTTGCTGCAGCAGCGGCGACTTGTCAAAGGGAAAGACGTAAGAGGCGGCGGCAGCGGCGGCAGGCGAGTCTCGCGGGATTTAGGCGGAAGTCTCGCGCAACCTGGACCATTCGCCCCGCCCCCAAGCCAAGCGCCAGAGGCGTGAGGGACCAGGGCGGAGTGGCTGGAGCGAGGTTGCGGGCGTAGGGGTTAAATTGGGGAACGAAAGTGAGTAGTCTAGTTTCCGAGGACACCCCGCTACTACGTGGTCCTAGCAAAGTCTGGATGAACCCCTCCGCTCGCGACGGCCGGACTATACCTATGAAGCACAATGGGGGATGTCTCATCCAGGGCGGTGAGGATTAACATGCCCACCGGAGCACCCCGTTTTCCTCGCAGTCGGCGGGGAAACCCCTACCGCCGGGAGTAGTGGGACTGCAAGACGGAGCGACTCACAGAAAACTTGGCAGCTGGGGCCAGGCGACCACACCCTTTTATCTCGTGCTCCAGCGCTCTCCGCTCCTATCTTTCGTCACACCAGGCCTTAGACCTCTGGCCGGTCAAGTTCAATCACAAGAAAGCTTTTCACTTGACCTTTTTCATCTTACTATTAAAAGTCTTTGCGCTAGGAGAGTGCCTGACACTGCTGGTTCTGGGGCCTGCGACTCCTTGGTTTTCTTTTCTGCTGAGGATCACAGGTAAATAGTCGTTTTGGGTAACATCTTTAATCATGACCCTCACCCATACAATGAAGTCCCATGAGAGGAAGGACCCAGACCAACTTGCTCATTACTGTAGCCCCAGCACCTGACATAGGTCCAGGTGCTCATTCAGTTACTGAATGACTTCTCTTATCCCAGTCCTCTTCTTCACCTGTCCTTACTCTAGACTTCCACACTTCCAGCCATCTTCCTGGTGTCCTTCATTGAAAATACCCTACAGAGCACCATTTACATGTCACTGATTCTGACTGAGATGGAAACAAAAAATGGTGCCTGTCACTGTCCCCAGTTAAGATTGTGAACTTTTGGAGGTCATTAGAGTAACAACATAAAGCCATGTATGTGTCACTAATGAAAAAAGTTACGCTATTAGGCAGAAGAGGGAGTGCTTGCCTGTGGTTAATTTGTGTGTGAGACAACTTACCCCAGGAGTGATTTGACTCAGTGTCAAAATAGTTTGTTTCACAGTCAGACATAGTTGAAAATTCTAGAATTCCATGTACCAGATGTGTGACCTTGGGCAAGTTGCTTGAACTCTTTAGACCTCAATTCCTTCTATGTCAACTTATGAGTGTTAGTTTTGATCATAGTGTTCTATGAGAAGTAAAATACATGTAAAACTACTGTTACATACTAACTACTGCTACATACTAATTATTTGTTAAATGGTAGGCCTTATGTGTATAAATTTTAAGCAACTATGAATAAAATGTCTTTCTTATAAACTAGATGTGAGGGAGTAGATATGTGTGAAGTGATATAGCTATTACTAGCTTGTGCTTTATGATCTAAATATTGTGTGTGAAGTTGATATAGAGCCAACAAACTCCATTATCATTCACCTTACAACTTGCTGGTGATGTGGGCATCTGTGCCACTCGCAAGCATCCATTGACATTCCATTTTTGTCTTGGGTTTATAAAACTGCTGCTTTTGCCCACTCTCTTTCAAGACAAGGACTACGTATTTTAAGGGCCAATTAAGCGAGTCCGAGTCCCTCCTTTGCCTTCTGCTTAGTTTCCACCCTCATGGCTAAGTAAAAAAGGAGAATTGGGTCCAGTTGCATACATTTACCAAATACAGTTGATATCAGCCATGTGAGCCCTAATTACTTTCTATCCTTATCTTGACCACTCCATCCCTTCCCTAAACACTCAATACTTAACCCAAAATCTGCTTACTGTCAATATCATTATCCCAACTCTACCAGTTCCAGATTCCCCTAGAGAAGGATGTTGAAAATGGGAGCAAGAGACCTTTGCCCTGATAGTCTGTGAACAGCACACATTGGCCATCCCAGTTAGGTTGCATCTGGCTCCAAAATTACACATCCCCATTTCATGTACTCCAGTCCCACCCCTTAGTCAGAAGAATCCTAGCACAGAAATTAGAGAACACTGCAGGCTATATCTGCATGTAGGGAATATATAACTTCTAAGTAAAAGTTAGAGAGAGCTAAGTCAGAAGTGAAAGAAATCAACAGAAGAGTTAAGTATGGGGTGCAGAACATTGTGAGGGCAGGATTCAGGGAATAAGTTTGGTTTGCCTTTGACATGTGACTCAGGAAAAAAAAAAACAAACTTCTCCGATGTTCAGAAAAGGATTTCAGAGCAGAATCTACAGAAATTGCAGCCTATCTGCCCTCAAGTTTTAGAGCATTCCTGGACCTCTTCTCACACTTGTAAAAAAGGTGAAAATGGGTTTCCTGCCTGCCTCAGAGTATCATGGGTGTCAGATAACACAAAAAAGTACTTGATATGCCATGTAAACATGAGGTTTATCATTGCTTTATTCACTCATTCATCTTATAGATCTTTTTAATGCCTGTCATAAACCAGTCACTTGGCCAAGGCACTGAGCATACTAAGTTGCGCAAGCTTTTATAACTTTGCTCAAAACACTTGTGGTGGAATGGGAAAAGATAGGAAGAAACAGATCTTTATAATGCTTTGTGAGGAAAGTACAAGTGATAAGTGAATGGGGGTGGGTGAGAGGAAGGACAGAGGGCTGAAAGTTCTTGGAGAAGGAGGTTTAGATGACTAGCACTTTTAAGAGGATCCAGCCCATTTCATGAAGAGTAATTCGTAAATCAACTCCAAAATAACTTCAACAAATTGCTCTGTTGTGGGTTGTGAATTCTGCTTTGTTCTAATAAAGCTCACATCTCCTAAACCATTAGAGTCTTTGATATGGAGTCATTATATACACCCATTAGCTTTGAAGAAAGATGGAATTAATGGAGGGGAAAATCAGTGGTGTCTTAATTAGAAACATTTTGTTCTTACAGCTTGTGTTTAAACACCAGAAAAATAGAATGCATTCTATGTTACCAACTTGGTCCCTGTTGTTCTCTTCAGCCAGCCAACCTTTCTGACTCAGGTAATATTGCAGATCAGAACCCAAGAAGTGTTTCAAAACTTTGATAAGTCTTATTTTTATTTGTGCTTATTTATACTCCACTTCTTTACAGAATGACTGAAATAGTTATTAGCAATTTATTTTTAATCATGTTCCTCACAAACTTCAAGAGAGTATATATATGAACCAATAATTTTAAACATTTATTGAGTGATAAGTGGAAGACATGATGCTAGAACTATAGACTATACAAAATAGGTCCATCCCCTATAATGTTCTGAAAATTAAAGATGAAAACAAATATTTATGAAAGATACCTAAGTAACCAACAATGTGAATTCTAGCCCTTCATTGGTTGAATAAGCAAAACTGTAAAGTTAGGCCCCAGCTTCTGAAACTTGCATAGTTTTTCCAGGAACACAGGATACAAAGGAAGGGCAAGATATTTATTGTAACTTGATATTTATAAATGTATGATAGGTATTTCAAAAGGTACTCTGAGATACATTTACTTTTCAACAGAGTATATTCTATTAAAGTTTTCCCTGGATAAAAGTAAAATTTGAAATTTACCGAGCAAAAGGACCAATTTAAAGTATCCTGAAGAACAAAGACTTGTGGGCACACACACACACAGATCCATCAATAAAAAGCAATATGCTATAAGCTAAAAAAAAAAAATGCAGAAAATAATACAACTCAGAAAAGAGGTCAAAGACAACTGTCCCAGGTGGTAGAATATGAGAGGAGTTGATAACTAAAAATAAGGAAGTTACATATTCTGATAATAATGTATTAACATTTTTAGTCCATCCCTTTCTATAATGTGTTGTTAAAATACTAACCTCCAAGCCACAAACATTATCTAGAATTTGTGATAGCTATACTTAACATATGAAAATACAGTTATTAACTCCTTTCTTACTAACAAGTAATTGCTCTGTCAAAAAGAAACAGGTATTGAACCTAGGACCACAGAGAGACAGATAGTTCTAGAAATAGAAAGTCTTGATGAATGCAAACTTTATAGGATTCTCTCTTCATATGAAATTCATAATCTAAATGAAAGATCACATATACGAACATGATGGACACCCACCATCTAAACAGTACTAACAACTTCCCTCACTAACTTCAGCCTTCAAAGCAATAGCCATTTTTAGATAAATCATTTTCACAACATTTTGTGAGTATTCTGTCAAAACACAATTGCCTAGGGCAGCCACAGATGAAAATTTTCTCATTTAGCATCAGGGAATGAAATCTTGATGCTGGGGAAGGAAAATGAAGCTATAGGGAAAATGTATACAAACAAAAAGGAGAAAATGAGTAAGGAAACTAACATTTATATAATGTTATCCATGTTTCATGCTATGGAAGCACAATTGGAATAAGATGAAAAAGTAAATCTTTGTCCTGGAAAGAAATGAGAGAGGTTGTGTATATAAATAAAAACACACGTTGGAAAGTTCTGAACACAGTCAAGAGAACTTTTTCCCCTTTCAAAGAACTGGGAAATTTAGAAAAATAGTTAAATTCTATGAAGTTGGATCAGGGGTCATGAGACATAGGACAATGAAAATTTAGTAGTTTCGAATATATGGGAAGTGGGAACCTTCTAGGCACAAAAAACATAAGCAAAAGTGTGTTTGAGATCAGCAATCAGTCTCTCTCCAGGTCTGAGCCTCCCAGTCCTTCCCAGGGGACCACTGTAGCCCCTGCTCCACAACAGCCATGTGTGACCTGAAGGCTGTGTTCAAAACTGTGGATATGTCAGAGGAGATGCAACAGGACTCAGTGGAGTTTGCCACTCAGGCATTAGAGAAATACAGCGTGGAGAAGGACATCGCAGCCCACATTAAGAAGGAGTTTGACAAGAAGTACAACTCTACCTGGCACTGCATTGTGGGGAGGAAATTCGGTAGTTATGTGACGCATGAAACCAAACACTTCATCTACTTCTACATGGGTCAAGTGGCCATACTTCTGTTCAAATGTGGTTAAAAGCATGGGCTGTGCCACACGCACAGTAATCCATCCAAAACAAGGACTGCAGCCTAAATTCCAAATACCAGAGATGGAAATCTTTGGCCTTGCTCAAGGGAATACTTCAATCTTTCAACCTTTGTTGTGGTGTTTTGTACAGGACATTCTCTGCACTAACTTGCTGTGGTTATAAACAATTAGCAAAACATCTTAGATTTGTATTTATGTTCTATCCCTCTCTGCCCATATTTTTCCTCCTCAAAAATCCATTCCTTTCAAAAAAAAATAAGTCTGTTGGATTAAAAAAAGATCAGCAGTTACTATGTTAACTTGGAACTCTTGGTTGCAAGAATTCCAATCTGGACTGGTTGAAGCAAAAATAAAGCAGAATTAGCTCAAGGAATCCAAAAAAGGGCTAAAGTCAAAATAAATGGGGGAATAGGGCTAGTAAGCTATGAACCAGGCTCCAGGAACTTTAGAACTAGGAATTTAAGCAGCACTAGAACTCTCTTCTCTGCATCGGCTTCAGCTTCTCTTAAGACAGACTGTCCTCATAGATCCAGCAATATAGCACCTCCAAGTTTTACAACTTTTAACTGTTTCCACTAGAAAGGGACTAACACTCTTAAATTTGAAAAGTCCAAGGGGAGAACATGCTTATTGGCCCAATGTTGGCTCAGTGTCCAGCTCTAGGTCAAGCCCAGGACATAGGGTAGATGCACACCATAATATTCCATAATGTTATAAGGAAAATGGGAAGTGAGTCTGGAAAAGCATTTGGGTCTTGATAGGCTGTACTGTGGGAGTTGGTAAGGACTGAAATTGACATCTGTGTGAGGAACACATCAGCAAGGAGTGGAGGAATGTATATTGAAAACATCTGGACTCTCAGGTAAAAACGGGCTCAAAATTTGTGTTATTACTGTTTAGTGATTTCAATCAAAATGTTTTAAAACACAGTGGATCTCTCACATTACCTTTAAAAACACCAAGACCTACAAACCCTCTTTAGCATTCTAGATAGATAATTTAAGGTGGGTATCTTAACCTGAGCCACCATTTCCTCACTGAAAAGTGATATAGTAAGAATGACAGCAAACATCAATTTGAATCTTGTTGTTCAAAGCACGTTTAAAACATCATTTCTTTTAATCTTCAAAATAGCCTATAGGGCTCTATAAATCTTAGATGATAATCCCATTCACAGGATTATTGTAAAGATTAAAGAACCCATGTAAAATTCAGAGCTCATTTACTGGCACACAGCCAGCACTTAGTGTATCATTACTTTAAAGCATCTGTTGCCCACAGAAGTTAATTCCCCTCATTTCTCAATTGCCTTGGGCATCAGAAGCCAGTAGTTTGAGAAAACAAAAACAAATGATGGGAAAGAACTCTGCATATGATACCTAGTCTCTCCTATAAAGGGGTAAGTTAGGTTCTGACTTCATAGAGACCAATAGGCCAGGAAGAGAAATACTACAAAGTGAATAGTAGACCACTGAGAAATGCAATTGTGAATGTCATATCATGATGTTTTTTTAAAGTGTGGGGGGAGTTCTATAAAACTAATCTAAAGGGCTTTTTGATGTTTCTTACCTCTTTGACCTGAATGCCATCAAATGACTGGGAAGATTAAAACAACAGGGACTAACACTAACTGAGCAGTATCAATGTGCTTGGCCTCTGCTGAACTCTTTATTTATGTTAATATCTGTTACTGTCGCAACTACTCAGGAAGGTGAATATTTTCTTTGTATTATATAGATAACGAAACTGAGGCTAGGGGTTTAGATGTAACTTGGTACATGTCACCAATTAGTAAGTAGCAAGGCTGGAATTCAAAAATAAGTCTGGTTGACTTTAAAGCCTGTGTACAAAAACAGTCCTACTGGTGAAATTATAGGCACTTCTTAACTTCTCTTTCCCCTACTCTTTTTGCCATGGTCATACCCCTCCATCACCTTAGACAACATCTCCTGACTCCATTGCCCAGCCACAGACTCTTCCTGAAGATTGCCTTCCCTGCTCTGCACTAAAATGTCTTGTGTCCTAACGTGTGCTTTTCCCTTTAGTTAACACATTTTAAATGCACTTCACATTCTGAATGGGACTGTCAGAATGTATTGGCAATATTAAGAAATGGTTCAATTGATAGAAATTTCAGAGCCTACAGACGTGGGGTGGACCATACCCAAGATAAGAAAACCTCTAAGAGGCCTCCAGTTTGTGTCACATGGACCCACACCCCCAAGCTATGAGTTCCTGAGAGCTGAACCTGGGGATGTCATGTTAGTTCTTGGAAATCAACAAAAACATTATGAATGAGTGAATGCTTAAAACCTGAAATACATAACTTACACTTCCGTCCTGAGGCCTCAGACTAACCCAGCATGCAAGCACCTGTTCAGACAACAGGGATTTTATATACCTTTGGGAGAATATTCCTTCCCATCCCCCATCTCACAGAGCTGTGCTGATCTTCAAACAAGGTCACATTGAACCATGATTCAGTGACAATGGATTCCGTCATTATGAAATAAGGAATAAAGCTTTCAACAGCATTAGGAGATAGAAGAAAAGGTTTGCATTTTCACATCTTTGTGCGTGACTGCAAATGTGAGTTATGCAGATAGTTGAAAAATCACCTGAAATTCAAAAACAATAAGTAGTTTTTTTAGAAACATTCACCAGCCAGCTCTGCCTGGTAGCACAACAGGTTAGAGCATAGCACTGAGAAGCTGGTGGCAGCCCTAGCACGGGAGGTGACCACATGGCCCACAAGACCTCTCCTGTCTCACCCGCTGCTCCCCTCAGCAGTGTACTTTGTCAGTCTGCCTGTTCTGCTCCCCACATTGTCTCTGGTGAATCCTCTCACCTCCTGCACCACTGGCCTGTACCCCAGTTATGTATGCATAAATAAATAAATCTTTAAAAAAAAAAAGAAAAACATTCACCAGCCTTTTGAGAACCTACGGATACGCAGATAGATTCTTTTGATTATCAACCAAAGCAATACAAATAAAATAGAACTTTATAGATAAATATGAATATATAAGTCTAATGACATCTGAAAATTCCATGAATATATACCCACTTCAGAAATGGTTGGATGGATATAACCCAACAAGTGTTGTGGATTTCATGTCTCACATTCTACCTGTAGGCCCTGCATTCCTCTGGCATGGCTTCACTTCCAGGTAGCTCTGCAAATAGAAGAAGTGATAACAACTAGTAGCTCCATGCTTATGTTATTCCATTACCCAGAACTTAGAACTTGGTTTTGTTTTGCTTTTTAACTACAAAATGAAGCACAAATACAAAATAATAATAATAATCCCCCAAACAAATGCATGGGTTAATATAAGGTGAACAATCTTGTCAGTCCCCTAAATCAAGAAACAGACGCCTGTCATCCATTCTAGGAGCCACATCTATTTCCCAATCACAATCCTCCCCAGATTCTGATTTTCATAATAATCATCCAAATGTGCATCCCTAAATTGGAGGTTAGCCCTATGTGCTTTTCTCCAGACTGATACATTCCTTTTTCATATCCTTCTCTCTTCTCCTTTACCAATCTGTTGAAGAATCCTTTTGACATAGGTACCTTGCCATAGTCTTGATTTTGCTGATGCAGTTCACCCTATTTCTGTTCCCTGCATTTCCTGCAAATCTGCAGCTGCATCCAGACACTGAGCTAGACTCAAGTTTGAATCCTCTTTGTCCTAGAAGGTTAAAGTCTCAGCACTGTCACCACCACTGGCAGGATTTGTTCCTGGCCAGGGAGCTTCCTGTCTCACCCACTGCCCCCCTCAGCAGTGTATTTCAGAAGATCCACCTCCACCAAGGAGGGCCAGAAATCAGCTTCTTAACAATATTTTTTAACAATAAAAAATTTGGTAGGAGAGAGAGCACCACTCCCCACTACAGTAGTTGTGGAGCACATCTGGAACATGTCAGTAGCTCTTTCTGTCTTACAACTGCACTCTCTGAGCCTACCCAGTAGATCCCCTCTGATCCTGATTAAAATTTTTTTTCTGAAAATGATAATAACATGACAATGATACCAATAGCAAAAATAATTAAAATCTCTTGCTAATGTCTAAACAGTATGCTGAGTACCACCACTGAATTTCTCCTTACAAGAACCCTGAAAGTTAGCTTCTACTGTAACCTTTGAAAGAAAAAGCTATTGAGGTTCAGAGAAATTAAGAAACTTGTCTAAGTTCACACAATTAAAAAGTGGCAAAACCATAGTGTGAGGCCAGATTTTTATCTGACTCTGGAAGAAGATTCTTACCAACCAAGTTGGGTAGTATTGAATGCTAAAAATACAATACATCTTAGTGTGTTGCTAATCAAACCCCAGGCTCTTTAAAAAAAAAAAATTTAATTTCACTTATTTATGCATCCAAGAACTAGGGCATAGGCCAAAGGTGCAGGGGATAAGAGAATTCACCAAAGACACAGTGGGGAGCAGAATAGGCAGACTGACTGAAATACACCGTTGAGGGGAGCAGTGGATGAGACAGGTGGTCTGCTGTGCTATGTGGGTCACCTCCCTGATGGAGATCAAACTCAATTCTTCAGTGGCTCGTGATAGCTTGACAATGCTGAGACTTTAATATCTGTGCCACAAGTGAGGCCCTCAAACCCTATGTTCTTGAGGAAAAGCCTCCTGCTGCCTTTCTGTATGTGTAAAGAAGCAAGGAAGGACTCTAAATAATAACAAGGCCTTGAGAGAAAATCACTGAGATAATGAGGTGTTGTACTTTGCCCTGCCTGACTTCTCTGTATGATTTGTTTCCATAGTTTACAAGCAACATGAGGAAATGAATGTATAACTGGGCCTGGGGTCTGGTTTGTCTCCCAGAGTAGAAGTCCAGCACCTTGAATTCTGGGCTCTGTCATGTCTCTGCATTCCCTTAGTTTTAGGCCTGAACTGAGGGCACTAGGCCAGACAGAAGGCTTTGATTGGTAGTTCTGAGGTCTCAAAGCTAGGAGGCTGCACCCCA